GGGGGGGAGCGAAGAGAGGGTTTATCGGGAATGATTCGTCGTCGTTCTCTTGGAGGGGTAGTAATAGTAATTATTGTATTAATTGGGGGCACTTTGGGCATAAAGGTCATATTAATGGGGTAAAAAGGAAAAGTGCGGAGAAAGTCTGTACTGATTGGGTATAAGGGAATTGAGATTTTGGTGAATGTGTCAGTGCAATATTTGCTTTCTTGGGAGCTTTGGTGATTGGTTGACTCAATGTGATTCTTTAGTGTTTTGTGTAAGCGTTTTTGTGGGTTTTGGATTTGGTGGTTGAGTTTGAGGGTTTTGATGGCAGCCGGTGATGCATTGCTATCTGGGCCTGATAAGCTTTATACAGGGAGCAAGGATGAGACTGTTAAGAGTTTGGGGTTTCCAGTCTGGACAGGTTTGAATTTTACCCCCTTTCAGCTTGAATTTTAGCTAATATTTTCAGCAGACATTGAAATTTATGAATGTGATTGAATTGTGATGTGCTGTTTCAAGTTGATGTCTCTGATGTTTGTATTGGATCAATTATCCAATTTCTGTTAAGGCTAAGACTATGATTATATCGAGATATTTAAAAGCAAGATGCTAGCGTGGAGTTGCTTCAAGCTTCAATATTTTCTTTTCTGTAGTTTTTCCTTGCGGATACTGCAATTTGAATTAGATATTTGCTTGAGAGAAGAAAGTTATTTTTATCGACTGTTTTTTCTTCACTCGGCTAAATGTTCAGTGACAAACTTGCTTTATGGATGTTTTGGCAATTTATGGGTCTGATTAATATTGGTGGTGTGGTTGGTTGCGTGATTAATGAAGGTCCTTGGGTTTTTGTTGGCCTTCCAAATGCTGTCAAGGTTAGGCAAGCCTTTCTCATTGTTTTTTTATGTCACTCTAAACCCAATTTGTAACAATGCTTAGAACAAATTTACCTCCATGGGAGTGGCTCTGACACAGTTTTTTTTTTGTTTTTGCAGGCATGGAATAAACAAGTGTATGCTTTGTTCGTGGGTAATTACTTGTTCTTTGCCGGTGCGCAAGTGATCTTTTTCTTTCTTAGGCTTGTATTATCCTTAAAAGTTCTGTTGATGCTCATGTTCTCTCATATCAAGACCTAATATCTCATTTCTGCATCAGTTTGTTTGCTTTGGTATAAGGAAGCAGGGACATTAATAATTGAAAGTAACCATCCTTGGTCATTTATTGTGGTGGTAGGAGAGTTTGTGATGAAATAACTCGTCAAGGAAGAATATTGATGCAGAGGCAATATACATAGATTTTAGTTGACAGCGAGGCGCTTGAGGTGAAACTTTTTGTTCACACGGTCTTTTTCATTGTTTTCCTTTTTTTTTTTTGTCTTGATTGTAATTTTAACATGAGACATTTATGTTGTTCTGCCTCCGTTTGTAATTTGTGCAGGCAAGATGGTACTGCTCTATTGTCAATTTTCAGCTCTATCTTGCGTTGATTTTACTGTTCCATTCCTTTGCAGGCAAAACGGTACAACTCCACTGCCAATTTGCCAGCTTCACTTTGCTTTAATTCCACTGTTTTCTGTGCCTGGATTTTTACTAGTAGCTGATGATTCAGGAAAAACGATTACTTCCATATGGAAATCTTCAGATTTTGCTTCCTTTTTAGCTTTATATATGTGTGTGTGCTTTCATTTCAATCATCACTAAACGACATGTTTATTAAGTGCTAAGATTGTTTAAACTTCTACTACAACGTCACGCCTTCACCCAGTTATCTTGCATTTTTCTTTTCGATATGCATTTTGATCCCATTCCCTTGTTGGTAGCCTTTTCTTAAACAACTCAAGATTTCTCTTGCGCATGAAGGGAAATTCATTGGCGTTGATGATTCAAACCATGATTTTGTTAGGATTTGTTATTAATGGGCAATATATTGTGTAACCTGTCCTAAGGAGTAGGGTTACCATTGTCAAAAGGCTACAATGGTAGTTGCACCACCATTGTCAAAAATGGTGCAACCCATGTGTTGTCACTATTAATGCCACAAATCATGCCATGATTTGTGGATCTTGTCTTACCATTGATGCCTATAAATATAGGTATTGTTTGAGAGCAAAATGAGAGTGTGTTAAGAGTGAAGAGAGAAAGAGAGAGCTGCTAAGAGCAGCAACCCTGCTGTCATTGTAGTAGTGAGGTGGGAGTTGAGTGAGAGGGTGTAATCTTTCTCCTCTATGTATTTGTTTTGTGTGCTTTATCTATCTCTAATAATATCGACTCTTCTATAGATGTAGGCTATTTGTCTAACCACATTAAATATTATGTTAGTGTGTTTGGCCTCCTATGAGTAAATATCAGTACATCACCAGTCGGATTCCCCAACAATTGGTATTAGAGCACATGGTTTAAAGTGGTGTTTGATTTTGCTCAAGAATAAAAGTTCTTAAAATTGTGTTTTGTCTATACCACCATGTAGAGGAGGAAGAGACGAAGCCACTGTTGAAAACCACATCGAAATCGAACGTTGGATATGGCCGCACGTGTTGGCGGGGTGGCTGGCCACGCGTCACACTCGTTTTCTTTGCCCGGATGGGCTGACCCGAACCAAATACCAGACGACCTAACCCACGTACAAGATCCGGATGATGATTACTTCTTTATTGCGTTAGCATGCATAGGTGGCATGCCATATCATCGTTGAGGATGAGACCATAAACGGTGATGGTGAATTATTAAAGAGACATTGCCTGATTATGAGGCAATTGAAGGTCATCATGGTGTTCGATGAAGAAGAATAAATCACACATGTTTGCTCAATTACATGTGTTAAACTTTTATGTGGGGAAATTTTATTTGCCTTGATTGAAGGTAAAATTAGGATATTTTATACATCTGATCATGTGGACAATTTGAGGTGGAGAGTGAAATTTGATGAAGACCAATCTTGATGAATTTAAGCACCGGTAGTCTCGCTAGATATTGAGAAATCAGGGATGAAACCAAAATATTTCAGATCACTTGCAAAGGAAAGCCACGACAAAGCTAGTTAATGGTTGTATATACGAAAAGACAGTACAATGGATAGATATGGTCTTAGAAGTTCTGGCTAGGAGATTGAGTTTTAAACGGGATCGTTGTGACCCCTCTAATCTTTCTTGGGAACTTGCTTAGTGGAAAGATTATCCATATGGTACTATTTATGTATATGTGATAGTTTGTTATGAAACTGTTGAAGATTATCAAGATGATGACATAAAAGAATAGTTGAGTTTCATATGATCAAGGATTTGATGTAATGGTAAGTTCTTCAAAAAAGTTAGATTCAGTGATTGTAATTTCTCGGGGGTTAGAATTGATGAAAACCCTGATAATGAAAGAGAAATACAACAAGGGGATAAAGATTAACACCTTATTTTGACTTGGATATGTGTTGTGAAAGAATGAACTGCCGTCAAATATAAGCAAGGAATAGGATAATTTGGAGAACAGAAATTGCATGAGAGCACACGGAGATTGTGTAGGAGTACCCAGAGGTTTCAACGAGGTATTGTAATGAAACAACAAGTGTAAGAAGAAGAAGAGTTTCCAGATGAAGCTCATAGTAGAGACTGTGTGAAGGTTGTACAATAAAAAGTCTCTTATGCTTTTAATGAAGACAGTAGGCGAGGAACTGTCCAATGCATGCAAGGGTGGAAAGATGAGTTGTTGCAAATGCACCTAATTGAGGGGGTGCAAACGCCTATGATGAAAGGTCAGGATACCAAAGGGAGTTGGTGTGGGTGGAGTTGTCAAGCAGAAAGATATGGAAGCTTCAAATATAGAAATCGAGATGGACGATTGCGAGGAGTGTACCATAACTCTCTTTCTATAAGATCATTGACAATGATCTCTTTTATAGTCCACATGGTGATAAAGAATTTTTGAAGTCACTTTGAAGCATCTTAGCTGAAGGAGAATGCGACTGCCTGTGAAAGGCAAATACATCTTAAAGAGAAGATGTGAGGGACATCAGATGAGCCCAAGATTAGACTGTCTCATGACAATAAACGGAGACACCTTAGAAAAAGGTGTGAGGGTCGTGATAGGTGCCCCAAATTAGATTGCCATATGATGACAAGCGGAGACACCTTAGGAGAAGGTGTGAGGGTCGTGATAGGAACCCTAATTCAGAATGCTCCAAGGTCGATGTGATGGCTAGATATGAATGGACAGATGAATAGCCAATGAAGTGGCTATGATGAGTATGGAGACAAATGCCGGATTAATTTTCATGGATATTGCCCCAATGCTAAGGATCAATGAGCTAGAAGACATTTGCTTTGGACAATAAGTGAATGACTTGTGGAACATTAAGACGCGACTGCTAGGAATGAGTAGAGGGCATGTGTAGGTTCATGAAACAAGTTGACTCTTGTCAAGGTGGTGAGCTCAGTAATGACATTGTAATACTTAGAGTATGAAGATAGATATGAATCAACATTTAATGGGCTGACCCCATGGTTAAAGGTGGAGAGCTACTTAGACTCTTGAGACTAAGAATAAGAGACTTATGAAGAAGTAAGACGTGGTTCTTATGGTGGAATAAAGGGTAGATGCAACTCTTGGTGAGTACACTCTTGGAAGGGTGGTGAACTTGTGATCATATTGAGATAATGACTGTTATGCTAGGGAATAGAAATTTTCGTTTGAGGGGGTGTTGTAAGGCTTGATGTGAGGCTTGATAAATCATTCCAGACCGAACATGGTTGATACGCTTAAAAGGGAATGTTATGTTCTAGAGACAAACGTTAATACTCTTCTGATGTGATGTGGGAGACCATCTGGTTGAACTGATCCTTTGGTATAAGTAAAGGTGTGCTTAGGTTACTCTAGTGATTGAAAGGTTTGGTGAGTACCTATAAACCTGGTCATAGACGCTTTTAGAATGGGAAGCTTGGAAGAGCTGCAAGATGAAGTTTGTGTTGAAAAAGGATAATTGCTCACATCAATGTCTGATTAGTACTTAAAAGTGCATTTTTATCATGGTTTTATATCATCATTTTGCACTTGAAGTATCAATAACTCCTCAACTAAAATATGTTTTATAATAATGTATCTAATAATATAAGATACCTATAATTTATGGTAAATGTCTATTTTTAATGCAGGCCTATCACATAAATGAAAGGATTGATTGATGACTTGAAGAACTTAAATTGCAAGGATAAAGAGATGGCCAAACTTAGAAAAGAGATGTCGGTGCAATCCAAACCGGAACACTGTTCGGTAAATGGGTCATATCTGGAGCTATATATCTCAGATTTAGGTCAAATTTATATGGATGGAAAGGTAAGACATAGGCCTACAACTTTCATATGGAGCCCAAGATCTAAAAAGGCCATTATCAAGTCCAAATTGTAGCAACAACAAAGAAGCCCGAATCTGTCTTCCAGCCCGAGCACTGTTCGGTATTTTGGCCATATCTAGAGTTCTAGAAGTCCAAATGAGCTGAAATTTTTACACAAGAAAGCTGAGACAATTGCCTACAACTTTCATGTTTGCAACTGGCTCCAATTTTGACGTTATCAATGACGTTTTGGGCAGACAAGAGAAGATAAAGATTGTCACCAAGTCAAAAGTTGGCCACCCACTTATCAATTAGTCATCAAATCAATAGTTCCCATTTTTGGCCTATAAAAGGAGGCATTTGCCATGCATTTAGGCATCTTGATTTCCAGATCAAGATCATGCTCTTCCTTTCTCTCTTTGTATTTTTTATGCTTTGTTTTCATTAATATTAAGTTTATGCCTTTCATTTCCTTTCCTTTACTTAGTTAACTTTTATGTTCTTATTTTGTTTATCTATTTTGCTTTCTTTCATTATGTCTAGCTAAGTTAATTATGTCAAGGTGAAAAGGTTACACTAATGGTGTAAGAATAAGTATAATGTAAACTTAATATGGACTTTAATGTTTGATACTAACATGTTTTATATTTGTTATCTTGTTCACTCTTTAATACTTTGCTTGTTAAATAACTAATCTTGATTTATGTTGTATAACACTTGGTACAACAAATGCTTGGCACTTTCATAGCCCATAATGTATGGTATAACCGACACCTGAGCTATGAAAGGAACTTGATTTATTGTTAACATAAGTTATAATCATGAATGCTTGACGATTTATAATTTGTATAATTAACCTCCCTGTGGTTCGACCCTGGTCTTGCCGGGTTATTTATTACTTCGACACTCCTGCACTTGGGAGAAGACATCAACCTTTTAGTCGTGTCAATGTCAAAGGAGGTGATTGTTAGGATTTGTCATTAATGAGCAATATATTGTGCAACCTATCCTAAGGAGTAGGGTTACCATTGTTAAAAGGCTATAATTGTAGTTGCACCACCATTGATAAAAATAGTCCAACCCATGTGTTGCCACCATTAGTGCCACAAATCATGCTATGATTTTTGGATCTTGTCTTACCATTAATGTCTATAAATAAAGGCATTGTTTGAGAGCAAAATGAGAGTGTGTTAAGAGTGAAGAAAAGAGTGAATAGAGAAAGAGAGAGTTGTCAAGAGCATCAGCCATACTGCCATTGTAGCAGTGAGTTAGGAGTTGAGCGAGAGTGGATGTAATCCTCCTCCATGTTTTTGTTTTATGTTCTTTTTTTTTTTTTTATCTCTAATAATATTGAATCTCTCGTGCATGTAGATGATTTGTCGAACCACATTAAATATTGTGTTAGTGTGCTTGACTTATAAGCAAATATCAGTACATCATCGGTCAGATTCCCCAACAGAACTTTAGATTTATTTTCCTACATTATTCACCTTTATATCATTAATTCATGCTATGTTTGCGCGGGCACTGATAATAGTTAATTAACAAAAATCTAAAAGAGCTCAAAGTGTGGCTTTTACCTGGATTCAAACAATAATTTCAATCTTTCAGTTTCTCATCTTGCTTTTTACTACATATTCAATCTCTTATCTTTTGCTCTCTTTTTTCTTTGTATATGTGGGTTCTTCTCTATCGTATCCCCACCTTCTCTTTACCTTAGATCGTGTTTTTCAATTCATTTTTTGTTTTGTAAACTAGATCACTAGCAGAGAGAATAAGCAGAGAGTTGTGGAGAGAATGTTGATGGTGCTGTCGATCACTTTTGAATATGTGATTTTCACTATAGAAAAATATTAGAGATTGGAGGGGGTATACAAGAGTGATAGTTATTTTTTTTAAAGTGTTTTATTTTAAAAATATATTAAAATAATTTTTTTATTTTTAAAAAACATTGGAATAAGAACCATAAATAAAATTGCTTTTTGTTGGGGTAAATGACTGTAGCATGTGAAGAGAGATGGTGCTTTCTATTAAGATTAAGTTTGCAACTCAAGTAAAAACATGTTAATGTTGCTTTTTGTGAACATGTGGTTACACGGTAAATTTTAATGAGTCGCACAAATAAATCTATGTTTGAAATATGACCATGTTCAATACTCATTGTGTAAAAAAAAAATTATTATGTAAAACCTTTCATTCTTCCCTTTTCAATATTCATCCAAATATGAGTAACTCATAGCAACATTTACAAAGATAAAAAGGTTAATTTTCAAATAGTACGAATCGTGGCGTATTTTAAGTTATTTCGTTAATAGAGATAAATTTATAAAACAGGTCTATATCAAGTATCATTAGGAAAAAGATCTCTTGAACACTGTTATCTTACAAAACTCTTGTTAATGACTTAGCCATACAATTTCATATATTTGTAGGTTTCATCTGACATTATTAAATCCATATTTTTTTTGCAATAAATTACAATGGTAACATTATACTATTATATAAAAGTTTTTGCAGCATGAAGTTGGAAATCACAAATAAAAAATGACTGCATGTGAATATAGATGGCAAAACTTAACAAAAACCATGCTTAGCCCCACCACGAAAGCCATTGACAACACCAAAATGCACTGCTTCTTTTACATTTTCTGGCTCGCCTGGTTTAAATCTCTAAGCTGCAATGCTATGCTCCTTTACGACCAGTTGCCTAATGCCAATTGTTGATATTGTTCTCACTTATTATCCCATGAGGTGGCATAAGAATGGCTTATGAGTTAAGGTTATTAGGCATCTTAGCCTAGTGAAAGATAATACAAAGCTAAAATCTTTTAACTGAGCCGAATAGTATCTTAGTCAGAAACATAAAACTCGATGGAAAGTTAATGATCTATTCATATTGTGATATTTCCTTTTATATCAATAAACACAATTTTTTAAAGAAAAGCAGCATAAGACTTCACAGGGAAAAGCATGAGACTTTATAGGGAAAACATGAAGAAAATATCAGCACAATAGCACAAAACATTATTTTTTGCTCATATGGTAGAATAATTGTAAAGCCATCACTTAATTAATTGGTGAAAGACAAAAATGAGTAGAGTTATTGGCATAATTAGAGGTGAGCTGTTGACATAATTGATGAAGTTGTTGGTATAATTGGTGGAGTATGAATGGAGATGAGTTGGTGGCATAATTGGTGCTATGATTTATGGTATTTATCTCCTCACTCTTGCCTATAAATAGTCAATGCCTCCAATCTTATTTTGCACACTAAGATAGAGAGAAGAAGAGGAGAGTGAAGAGAGAGTAATTCTATAAAATTATGAGGTATTTGTGAGAGAGTAAGTAAGGTGTTTTCTTCTAATAATAGAGAGATTCTTAGTTGTTCTTTTATTATTTGAGAGAGGTTGTAATTCTTACATTATTTAATAAAATCCTTCTATACTAATCTGTGGACGTAGTCCAATTGGATAAACCATGTAAATTCTTGTATGTCTCATTTCTTATTTTATCTTATCCCTTGTTTTTTATCTTGTCAGATTTACATGCTAGTATCCTAACAATAATGATAATAAGCTAGGGTTAACAATAATGATAATAAGCTAGGGTTCAAGTTTTCAATCATATAGCCTCATAATGCTATATATCTCCATTGTAACCCATCTTATAAATAAAAAAATGGTATTGTATCTCAAGTATTTGATTCAAAGTACCAGTTTGGTATATGTTTTAAATTCTAGTTAGGCAAAATTTAAAATTTATTTTATTTAAAATTAATTTATTTTTATATTTATATATGGTTTTAATATGTTGATATAAAATTTTTTTAAATTAAAACATTTAAAACACACATAATTCAAAACATTCAAACATTGTTTTATTATATTTGGTGTCGTGCACAGCTGAAGCCACAACCCATTTACATTCGGACAATGACAGTCTAGTCAAGTGGCCAGCGTAAGGCGAAATGAATTAATAATACGTGAACTCTCCATCTGGATCCCCTTAATAACTGTCAATAGTAACAAGGGTCTTTAGAGTGCCGCTTGGCTTCACACGTGCGTAGAGGGCCCCTTTTCCTCTAATTGTCACCAAGGGAAAAAACAAGGGGACAGGGAGAGATGCGTATCGTCATTCTCGATGATCTCCTATTTACTATGACATGGATTTATTTTTATTTTATTGTTTGTGAGCAATATTTAATAGGAGCTACTGGGTAGCTTGCTTTGCTTCCCATCCTTCAATGGAAGATATAAATTAGATGAGATATAATTGAACTAAATGCATGATAGAAAAATGGGATTTTCTCGATAGTAAAGTGAGAAAAAATTGATAAAAAAATTTAATTCTTTAAGTATAATTTTATTAAAATTAAATCAGATAATTTTATTATAAATAACACATGTCTCTCTCTCTCTCCACACATAGACACACCATATTGTATATCCTTTAAGCATTAGTATTAGTATTAGAAAATAAATATAAACACTTTATATCAAACATAATTATACATAAATAATTTGCTTTAACAATTTTAATTCTCAGCACCTCATCCACACAAGTGCTTTAAAATGTTTAGATCATTTTAATATGTTATATTAAAAATAAATTTTAAAACATAATAAAATTATTATTTTAATATATTTTTAAATAAAAAATATTTTAAAACATAATAATAACCATATTCTCAAATACCCTCTGCAATACTACGCTCCTCCATACCCAGTCAGCTAGATAGTATATACCTCCATTGTAAACCCATCTCACAAATAAAGAACGAAATGATCCCTTTATGTATATATATCCTTTAAGCATTAGCTTTAAAAAATAAATATAGATATTTTATATTAAAATATCAAACATAATCATGCATAAATTTATTTTTAGCACCTCTTCCACACGAGTGTGGCTTGAGAATTTTTAAATAAATACAATAATGACAAAAGAAAAGGTTTCACAAAATTTTCATGTAATTACACTTCAAAGTTTGTAAATGCAAATAATAGAATCAGAACTAGCTAGTCTTTCATTAAACTTAAATTTGACAAAATCTATTTGTTATTAGATGTTTTGAAATCTTGATGAACTTGTAAAAGAAGTAGTTGAGCTATGGCATGGAGGAACTGGGCATGCCGCGGAAGAAGAAGTGGACCCCCGAACAAAGAAAGTCTCGCTGCCCCTGTTACAACGTTGAAAGGCTTTTCACGTGATCTAATAGCTGGCATATCACACACTTTCCTTTTTCACTCAATTTGATTAGCCCCTCCCTCTTAGCATATCTGGAACTTGTGTTTAAATATTAATCACCAAAACTAATTATTAGAAGCACTTGGTTTTGTATTGTTTGTTGTTAGCCTTCCTATTAATTGCCATGACCAAGAGGTCAGTGATATTTTTTAATCATTTACAATAATTTTATTTCCCTATCCATAGTAAGTGTTGGGATATCACCATTTATATGGCAACATTTGTAGCTTTACTCTAGAAAAAAGGTTGTCATTGTCAAAAGCCAACAATGATATATATATATATATATATATATATATATATATATATATATTATCAAGTCAAGTTGCACCAATCATTAATAAAATAATGCAATTCATGTGTTGCCATTATTTGTAGCATGATTTATGACCTCTTGTTTGCCATTGAATTGCCTATAAATAAAGGTATTATTTGAAAGCAAAATGTGTGAGAGAAAGAGAGCTGAGAAAAAGAGAAGAAGAGAGAAAGAGGGCGCTGCCATCGACAGCAGCCCTGTTGCCAGGTGCAACAGTGTGTGAAAGCTGGGAGTTGAGTTTGAGTGGTGTGATCCTCCTTCTCCATGTATTTGTATTATATTCTTTCTCTATCTCTAATAATATGTAACTCTCTCGTGGATGTAGGTGATTTGTCAAACCTTATTAAATATTATATCAGTGTGCTAAGCCTTTAATGGGCAATTATCAGTACATCATCGGACTGAATCCCCAATAATTGCTATCGGAGCATATGGTTTAAAGTGATAATTGATTTTTGCTAAAAAATAAAAGTTGTTAAAATTGTGTTTTGACCATACCACTATGAAGAGGATGAAGAGATGAGCACATTGGTGAAAACAACATAAAATTCTGACGTGGGATATGGTCGCATGTGCCAAGACGCGTCAACGAGAAAGCTGCCTACGCTTCTTCTTTGCTTGGATGGGCTGACCCGACTTGAATACCAGACGACCTAATCTATGCGCTTGACTCGGATGAGGATGATATCATCATGATGTAAGCATGCGTTAGCATGCACAGTTGGCATGCCATGTCAGCGCCTAGTTAGCTGACATGTAAGCACAGTGGGACCCAACTACCATGTCATCAGCCTTGAGTCGAGCTGAATTGAGTAGCACCAAGTGAAGCCGAGCCGAGTTTGAGTTGAGGGATAGAATCTAGTGTAGCTGAACCTATGTGTAATTGGATCTGAGATTGAATCTGGGCCGTTTATCATGCCAGAATTGTTTTGATCAAATCTTATCAGTTTAAAATGTGATTTGAACGATTTCACACATGTTCCCAACTAATTTGATCATTTCGGATGCAATGGTATGATCCGAGTATTGAAATTAAGATTGAAAATGGTGGTGATGAATTATTGAAAGAGATTGTCCGATCAAGATGCATTTAAGGGTTATCATGATGGTTGATGGAGATGATGAAGAAAATCACACAGGTTTGTCCAATTACATGTGCTGAATTTTTAAGTTGTGAGAAATTAGGTGTAAGACCAGGATATTCTAGATCACTTGTAAAGGAAAGCTGCGACAAAGCTAGCAAATGGTTGTATATACGAAAAGACAGTACGATGGATAGATATGGCCTAAAAAGTTCTGGCCAGGAGATTAGGTTTTAAGCGGGACTGTTGTGAACCCTTCAATATTTCCTGGGAACTTACCTAGTTGAAGGATTATCCATACGGTACTATTCTCATATATATAATAGTTTGTAATGAAACTGTTGAAGACTAGCAAGATGACGGCACAAAGAAACAGTTGGGTTCTGTATGTTTAAGGATCTGATGGAGTGGTGATTTCTTTAAAGAAGTTAGATTTGATGACTGTAATTTTTGGAGGGGAGAATTGATGAAGACTCTGATAATAGAAGAGAAATATAACAAGAGGATAAAGATTGACACCCTATTTTGACTTGGATAGGTGTTGCTATAGGATGAGTTGTTATCAAACGTAAGCAAGGAATATAGAGAATTTGGAGAATAAAAATTGCACGAAGGCACATGGAGATTATGCAGGGGTACCCATAGGATCTAACAAGGTACTATAATGAGACGACAGGTGCAAGGAGAAGAAGAGTTCCTAGATGAAGCTCAGAGCAGAGATTATGTGTAAAAATTATACAATAATAAGTCTTTTGTGCTCTTGATGAAGACAACAAACGAAGACTTTTCCAATACATATAAGGATGGAAAGATGAGCTGTTCTAAAGGCACCAAATTGAGGGGGGTGCAAACACCTATGATAAAAGGCAACCACCTATGATGAAAAGTGAAGACACCAAAGAGAATTGATGTAGGTGGAGCTATCAAGCAGAAATGTGTAGAAGTTCCAAACATAGAAATCAAAATGAAGGATTGTGAGGAGTGTACCGCAACTTTCTCTTTCTATGTGATCAATGACAATTATCTCTCCTAAAGTCCACATGGTGGTAAAGAATTTTTTGAAGCCACTTTAAAGCATCTTAGCTGAAAGAGGATGCAATCGCCAATAAAAGACGAACACACATTAGAGAGAAGGTGTGAGAGCTATGATAAGAGCCCCAGTTCAGACCGCTTATGAAAGGCAAAGACACCCTAAAGAAGGTGTGAGGGCTATAAGAGGAGCTCTAGTTCATAATACCACAAAGTTAATGTGATGACTAAATATGAATGGATAGGTTTATAGTCAATGAAGTGGCTATAATGAGTATAGAGACAAATGCAGGATTGACTATTATGGATATTGCCTCCATGCTAAATATCAATAAGCTAGAAGACATTTGCCTTGGACAATATGTGGGTAACTTGTTGAACATTAAGATGTGACTACTATGTATGAGCAGAGGGCATGCGCAGGTTCCAAGAACAAGTTGACTCTTCTTAAGGTGGTGAGCTCGGTAATGACATTGTAATATGTGGGTAACTTGTTGAACATTAAGATGTGACTACTATGTATGAGCAGAGGGCATGCGCAGGTTCCAAGAACAAGTTGACTCTTCTTAAGGTGGTGAGCTCGGTAATGACATTGTAATACTCAGAGTATGAAGATAGATATAGATCAACCTTTAATGGACTACCTTATGGTTAAAAGTGGAGAGCTACCTGGACTCTTAGGACTAAGAGTGGGGGACTTACAGAGAAGTAAAGCACGGCTCCTAGAGTGGAATAGAGGGCATATGCAACTCTTGGATGAGTAGACTCTTGGAAGAGTGGTGAGCTCATGATCACATTGAAATGCTTAATGATTGCCATACTTGAGAATATCTGTTTGAGGGGGTGTTATAAGCCTTGATGTGTGATTTAAAAAATCATTTTGGATCGAGCATGGTTTGATACGCTCGAAAGGGAATGTTATGTTATTCCAGAGACAAGCGTTAACATTCTTTAGATGTGATGTGGGAGACCATTTTATTGAAATAATCCTTTGGTGAGAGTAAGTGTGTGCTTTGGTGACTCTGGTGATTCAAAGGTTTGGCGAATGCCTGTATCCTTGGCCAAGGATGCTCTCGAAATGGTAAACTTGAAAAAACTACAGGATGCAAGCTTGTGTTGAAGAAGTAAAAGGAAAATTGCCCATATAAATAGCAAAAAGAGTGACTGTTTGGATATCGCTACTTATATGGCAACATCTGTAGCCCTAATCTAGGAGAGGGTTGTCATTGTTAAAAGCCTGCAATGGTAGGTGTGTATTATTAAGCCAAGTTGCACCAACCATTGACAAAATGGTGTAATCTATGTGTTGCCATTATTTGTGGCATGATTTATGGCCTCTTGTTTGCCATTACATTGCCTATAAATATAGGCATTATTTGGTGGCAAAATGTGAGAGAGAGAGAGTTGAGAAAGAGAGAAGAAAAAAGAAAGAGAGGTTGTCATAGGCAGCAGCCTTGTTGCCAGGTGTAATAGTGTGTGAGAGCTGAGAGTTGAGTTTAAGTGATGTGATCCTCCTCCTTCATATATTTGTATTTTACTATTTCTCTATCTCTAATAATATGCAACTCTCCTGTAGATGTAGGTGATTTGTCGAATCACGTTAAATATTGTATTAGTGTGCTAAACCTCTAATAGGCAACTATTAGTATATCATCGGTCTGAATCCCTAACAGTAAGATCATGATCATCTACCATGACCTATGGCTGTAAAAATATTGTTTTAATCTGAGTGTAAGAGCCTGATTTTAAAGCTTACTAGTCTTATTGCCTTAACTCAAAGAATAAATTTTCTATTTCCATGAGATAAAAAATAGCCATCAACATTTTTGAGATAAATGAGCTTTTAATTAAATAGTTTTATGCTAAAATTATTTTAGTTAGTTTTGAGAAATGATTTTCTACTAAAATTTGCAAATTTAATGGATGTTTAGGATAATGAGTATTTATAAAATTGATTCTTTCTGTACCATATTATTATGATTATACTTTTCTTTCTATAAGAAATATTCATGAAAATTACAAGGTTTAGAAAATAAACACAATATTTTTATTAAATTAATTTAGTATTTCATTGTATAGGTGGTCTGCACACCACTATGGCTAGGTCAAACTTTATTCAACACTAAAAAAAAATATTCAGACGATGATAATCCAAGATAACATGGGTTAAATTTACTAAAACATGACATGAGATATGAGACCTAAACAGTCCTCGTAAAGGATAGTGAAAAGAAATTGTAAAGTACTTAAGCCTTAATAACCTAATGTCAAAGATAAAAACAATTTATTTTTCAAAAAATATAATATCGAAGAAGAAAATTCAAGTTAACTCAGGCTAACTTGACAAACTCATAACTGACATTATGAGTTCAGGAGAAAAAATAAATTTAAAAGGATTTAGTAAAAAAAGATCAAAGTCTAATAAAGAAACGTAAAAAAACTTGAGTTAACTTTACCAACCTATTCTCGGAATAACCAATCAAAAAGAAAAGTAAAAAAAATGACAAAACTCTAGGGAAAATAATGTATTGCAAAATAATGAAATAAAAAAAAGACATACACAAATTGA